TGGGTAGCTCCTACTGTCTTTCACTTGATATCTAAATCTTTCCTAGCCAGTATATAGTCTATTTTTTGTGACCTCCTTGTATCGTAAAGTGTAACGTACGTCTTCTCTTATGGTGTTGGAAGTGTGTATATGTTATTGATAATTTATGTTATGTGCATAATTATATAAGGGTGTCGCATCTTGGATTCTTTACTCTTATTCCATATTTATCAACTATATATGATTCTTTCTCTTCACCGACACTAGCATTGAAATCTCCGAGGATGATAAGATTTTCTTCTCCTTTTACGGTGTTTATTAACTTGCTTAGCTTCTCATAGATTTTTTCCACTCCATCATCTTCTTCTGAAGTGAGCATATACACTTATATAACCAYAGTATCCTTTGGTTTATTACCTATCGTAGCTAGAATGATTCTATCACTGTACTGTACATATTCTATAACTTTTTAACCCCATGATTTATGTAGTACTAAACCAACTCCTCTTGTTCCTGCTCTTCCTTGTTCGGATCCTGAATAGATTACTCGGTACTCCACCTACCAGAAAACTCCTGAATTAGTCCATCTCATTTCTGATATGCCAAGAATATCAATTCATAGTCTATCCATTTTAATTTTTTAATTCTATTAAATATATATAATTTCCCGGTCTGTAATAGCGTTTTGACATTCCATGTTTCAATTTTTTTGATTATGTTACCTTTCCGCAGTTTTGATTTTTCCTTCATAAATTTATCTTTTTGAGTAGTCCCTGGAGATCCGAATGAGAAACTATTTTACCTCTGGAATATTTTATTTTCGAAGCGTTCATCTATTTTTAAAGGTTGATACCTGGGATATCCATGAAGATATTTAATGCATTAGCTTCCTCTTACATTCTGCATTCTATGCCGTTGTCACCTGTTATCGTTTACCCACCTTTAGAGGTGATTTCTCACCTCAWGGGCTATAGAGTGTCRTCATCTTTACCTTTTAARGATTACTCYTTATATCGGGAGAGGATCRGTCCACTGAAATCCTCTGCCTGAGGCTTTCCGACGGTGGAGCACGGGGCCCCGGGTGCGCTAGACCCATAGGTACGATATTGTATCATACCWTCCCCTGAGTGAAGATTAGGTTAAATTATGTTAAGGTTAGGAACAATGTACCTGATCAAAATATGTTATCAACAACTAACATTCGGTACTACACGTCATTATCACAAGTTTAAGTGATTTTATTTTATCAGCAAGACGTGCTGTTACATGAACTAAAAATATGATTTGACTTTTCGGTAGATTTACAGGTGTTGACGTACAACGATGTTCTTTACTTAGAATTGAACAAACGTAATCCGGTCAACAACAAGTTGTATAACGGCGGAGTTGATGCTTTGGCTTTCATAACTGGTAAATTAAATATAATACGCTTCATATGTAAAAAGTAGGATGATGTTAATCCTCTTGATGAAAACGTCCGATACCTATATATACTCCGTACAGACTAGTAAAATATGGGTGTGAAATCATGTGTTTCAGTGTTTACTATTGATACTGATTGCTTTGGTATTTAAAAAGTTTTTAAACTATTATTATGAAATGTTGGTCTTATTATTTTTGATATTGTCTTCCGTACCCGATGGATTAGCTGCTGTAGTAGTATGGTGTCTATGTGGGTTGTAATTTAGCYCCTTAGTTGACCCTGGGGTGTGTTTTGTGAACAGTGGACTCTAATTGATAGTCCTGAAAAGGACTGTTTTTCGTTATGCGAGGTCGCGTCATAACATAAAAAAATAAATACAAAATAGGTACTTGTTCAAAAATATGATGTTTAGAAGACCAACGGAGAAATCTTACAGAAAATGCAAGTCAATTCACTCTGAGTACCCCCTCCTCCCATATTACCAAACGATAAAATTAAATTACATGCCTGACAACAATTTTATTTTTATAATATTATTATGTGCTTCAATTTGTTCATCTGGTTATGTGTGTTCATTTTTAGGATAAGGGAAATTGAAACCAGATTCCCAAATTAATTTATGAGCYGACTTATATTTTGGGAAAGTTCGTGGGAACGTATTACAATTTTAAATTAATTATAACTCGTTAAATTATTCATTTTAATTTTAATGCAATTGATTTGWCCAAACAGTTTTAACCAAAGTAAYCTAACAAATTATAATTAAAAAAAATTTTATATCTACAGAAATATTAACTATTGTAACAATTATTATGCTTCATAAATGTTATATTTATAACTAATATAATATAATTACAAGGATGAGTACAAGGATCACATAAAATAAAAATATT